TCAGGGATATCTGGCTATCTAGTCAGGGCCACTGGAGCATGAACCAGCCAAGTGCAAATAGGAAATATTTCTCTGGGGGTATTGAGCAGACAGGCCATTATGGAAGGCATGAAGTTAAAGGGGAAGGAAATGGGCAAAGTGTGACCTGTTGCTAAGAGACAGAAATCCCAAGGGCCAGATCCAGACTCAAGGACAAGTAGTCAGCAAGATTCTTGATGATGGTTATTAGCACACAGAGAGCCCAGGAATCAAATCAATCAGTATGAAAGGAATTGTATCACCAGAAAATCCTCACACCTGGCAAATAGTGGTCTGGAAATGCGTAAACTCTAAGGCAATCTCTGGGCCCAAAGGAAGCGGGAGGCTTCAATTTCAGAAGAGGCATCCTCTTTGGGATATCCATAAAGGACAACAGATAAAGAACCAAATTAAAGGATTAAGGACAATCAGTTTCATTGACCAAGAAACTCGGTCCTCTGTCCAGAAGGATGTGCTCTATGCTACACATTAGTGACCATTGTTTTCTCGTCTCCCCTGTTCCAAATGGAAGTTTTTCTTTTTTGAAAACTGGTTATCCTATTTTCCTCTACTATTTAATATTGGTTATATTGGGGTAGATAAATTTGTCTTATCTACAGATTGCAAAATCATAAGAACTTACACCCAGACCTGATCAAGAATTGCACAACACAATGGGACCCTGGACTGAGGGTTCAGTAAAGCAACTTGACATGATTCTGTTTTGTCTTCCATTGGAAAGTGGGTGTGTTTATTTTAACTTTTTGATTTTTAGAGAGAGGGGAAGGGAGGAAGAAAGAGAGGGAGAGAAACATTGATGTGAGCAAAGCATCGATTGATTGCTTTCTGTATATGCCCTGACCAGGGACCAAACCTGCAACCCAGGCACGTGCCCTGACCAGGAATCAAACTGGCAACCTTTTGGTTTGTGGAATAATGCCCAACAAACTGAGCCACATGGGCCAGGGCAGTGAGTGTGTTTTCTTTGTTGGGCCTAGGATCATTGCATTGTTTGGCAGGCACACTTTTGAAATTGCATGTTCATCAAGAAAAGTATAGGTGGATGCTGAGCAATAAAGGGGGGGAATATAGTAGATGCATATCGATTTTCTGCCCATCATCTCTTCCTTTGGGACCCATTTATCCCCTTCACACAGTCCTAGTGAAGTTGTCAATTATGGTGGCTATCCTTCTACCCTGGAGGTGGGCATATGTCCCTTCTGGACAAAGTTCTTCCTAGGACTTTAGAGCTGTAACTAGAGAGGCCAAACCAAGAGATGGAAACATTATCATTTGAACCCCTATATCCAGCCATGCCAGGAGGCAGATACATCCTTTGATTTACCACTTATGTTTGCCAGTTAATTTCCTATTGACTTAAACATGTTTGAGTTTGGTTTTTGACACTTGCAGCTGAAAGAGTTCAGACTAATAGATGCACACACAACAGAGACACAAACACCATGTTTTTCAAACTGAGTAGACATTATATAAGTCTTCTATGGTCTTATAGGGGTCAAGAAACTTTTTGTCTAAAGGGTCAGATAATTATTTTAGGGTTTGTGGGCCACATATGGTCTCGGTCTCATATTCTTTTTTATTTTTACAATTTTTTAAAGAGGTAAAAACCATCGTTAGTTTGTAGACCATACAAAAACAGGCTGCAGGCCAGATTTGCCTACAGGCCATACATAGTTTGTTGACCATTGATTTAGACCCTGCCAACCCCTGCAGCACTGGCACACAATTTGCCACTCCCAAACTATGAAGCAAAGTACTTTTAAATGCCATTTTGGTTCAAGTGTCTTGACGTGACTTGGTAATGAGTTCAGGGTAGAGTTAGGAATGGGAAGACGGTCTTGGTGCCCATTGTCTGTCACATAATAGGCACTGAATAAAAGGTAATCATTATTATTTCTTGGTAATAAAGATAATTTATCAAAATGATACAACTATCCAAATATCTTTGCCCAAATGTCCCAGTTCATCCTCAAAGACCCTTTCTCTCCTTTCATCTCCTTCGGGAAAACTTTTTCTAATCTCCAATCAAGTCTGAATTACCAATCAAGACTGAATTAGGTACTCTTCTTGTTATCACAGACCCTGTGTGGCCTTCCATTATAACTACATTATTGGTCTGTCTTTCCTTCTAACTTTGAGTACTTAGAACGTGCCTGAGCCCCAGCTCCTAGCACAGTGCTCAACACCCAATACTGACTCTATACTTCTATGTGAGCATCTGTTTGAACGTGCAGGTGCTACCTGTCTCCATCAGTGTCCAGGGTGGTCAATCTATGTATCAGCACTGTGCTGATGTACAGATATCATAAATACTTGTTCCTCTATCAGTTGGAAGTTATTAGTTGATATGCACAGTACCTTACCTGGCAATGCTGTTATCGGACCTATTTTTCATCCTATACCCTCCAAAAATAAGTCAAACACAGAGGAACAGGTAGGAACACATTTTCTTAGAAACTGTTATGAAGGAGGAACACTTTGATCCCACCATGCATCCTTTACTGTCTGATGTGCTATAAGATTAGAGACCTCCAGCCCTAGCAACATCTGGTGATCTGAGTGCCCACTGCAGAGCTGGGCCACAGACCAGTTCCATCCATGTCTATCAGGTAGAGAGGAAATTATCCTCCTGACAAAAATATGCACAAGGCTGTGCAGGCCCAGGAAAGGCTGACAAAGGCAAGGTGAGTCATGGTGTTCTATGCTGAAATCTTTTGCCCATCTCACAGAAGCAGGCAGGAAACACCACCATTGATCAGCTTTATATGGCACCCACTATATACAACAGACAGACAAAGACAGAGAGACAGAGCACACACCATTTCTAAGCTGAACACTGCTCACCATCTAGAAGCACCTTGGATAAGCACGTGAGACACTCTTTGCATAGGAAAGATGTACTTTTTAAAGGAATGAAGAAGTATTTTGGCAAAACATCTACTTCTTTCTCAGGTCCTGGGTAAAGAGGAACCTCTAAATTCTGAAGCTTCTACATATTGAAAATTTTCCCCTTCTCAGTGGCAGTATATACAGTAGCAAACCTTCCAAGTCTGTTGTCACAGCCCTCTACATATATCCTGAATCTACTTTACAGGGGGGCAAACTAAGACTTAGAGACAGAAGGTGGCCTGGAGCAAGGGGACACTCAGGTTGGCTCAAGGGGAGGTGAAACAGGAGATGTCTCGGCTCAGCCAAAGGCAGGGGCCTCTGTCTATCTGGAGGCGGGGAAGGGGAAGGCCAAAACTCCCTCTTCCTTGCTGCCTGAGGAAGCAGCTGTCAAGAAAGAAAGGCAGGTTCCCACTCTTGCTGGCTCAGGGGCCCCTCTGGGCGGCAAAGGCCGGGGTGGGCCAGAGCTCCTCCTGAGGCCTCTTCAGCGGTGCTCTGTGCATGTGGGGATTGTGGGTTCACTGCTTTCACAACTCTGGTTACCTGCATCTGAGCCTAGACCTTAAGTCCTTAATTATTTTAAAAAGGCAGGGTGGGGAGACGGTTTAAGAGAATATGAGACACAGAACAATCTTTCCACAGCCTCCCTCCCTCTGACTAGGCTGGGGCTTTTAAAGGTCTCCTTCACCCTGTCTCCTAGGGATATTTAAAGGCAGCTTTTATGAGACTCTATACTGTCTTTTATGTTTCTCTTGTGGTTTGTTTTGTTTTTTCTTTGTGATTTTATATATATATATATATATGTGCGTGTGTGTATTTTCTTAAAAAAGCAATAGTCCTTTGGTCCCTAAACTCTAAGGAATGATAAGATTTTTAAAGAAGTAAATCTGGGCTTCCCTTGCAGAGAAGCCCTTGGCACCCCCAAGGCCCTCTGCTGGTTCCCCTCGCCGGTCCATCCTCAGCCAGCCCCAGCTGCCCTGCCAGCCTGAGCTTTATGCCACAGGCATAGAACAACCCACTTGATGAAGACAATCCTTAAAAGTGGCCTGAGCCCGAGGCGCTGGCCTTGGGTCCAATCCACTTCCGTCTGCGGCTGCTCCTTCAAGAAGGGCTGCTTAAGTGCTTCTGTGCTTTTCCTCTCTTTTCTTCTCACTCTTCGGTATCTGTTGTTGGTATTAATTGATAAGGGGCAGGGAAGGGGGTGGGAGGCAAAAATCAGTCTGGAGGGTGAGATAAGAGCAGCTTGCCCCGTGGGCTACATCTTAGGTAAGTGTCTGGGCCTCTCTTCCAGGGGAGCAGAGCTGCAGCAGGGCCGAGGCAGCAGCCTGATCCACCGAAGCCGGATCCTGGGTCCTGGACAGATGACCCCAGCCCAGCACCCACCCCAGAGGGCTCCTTGGGACAGCTCAAGTGAGGCAGGGCCATGGGGACCTTCTGAGATAGCTATTCTCTAAAACTCACAGGCAGCCGGCCCTGCCAGAAACCTAACAGAGCCTATCATCTCCCTCCCCATCACCCACCAGGCCCTGCAGATCCTGCTTCTTCAGTGTACTTGCTTCTCTCCTCATCTTCATGTTAACTGACATTTCCCCAGCCCTTACATCATGTTTCTTCTTTACCTAAACTCCTCATGGTTCTCTACCATCCTCAACATGAAGTCCAAACTCAAGGCCTTCAAGACCGTTCACAAGCTGGCCCAAATCTACTTTTCTGGTCTCATTCTCCATCCCCCTGCTTTGCCCCAACATGAATTCTCTACTCCCATGCCCCCTTCCCCCGTGGCTATCGCTGGAGTAGAAGCAACTGGTTGGATCTTACTGTTAATTGTGTCTCTCAGACTATAGGAACAGGAACGTTGTCTAATTTATCTCAGTCCTTGGATTGAAGGGAAAACACGAAGTCTCCAACTATGGATTCCTCCTACCTGCTGGCTCTTCTCTCCCAGAATTTTTCAGAGGTGGGTGCCCCAACATCCCAAAGAGAACATCAAAGCTGAGAGGGTCTCCACCACTCAGGCCCCATCTGCCAGGGGTCCGCCAGGACTCACCTTTCTGTGGCTGGTCAGTGAGAGCAGATCAGTAAGGCCTGTTGGCATCCTTGGGCCTCTTTAGCTGGACCTTGAGCCTCTTCATGCCAATTTGAAAGCCATTCATGGCCTGAATAGCTGTCTGGGCACTGGTTGGATTGTCAAAGCTAACAAATCCTGGGGGTTTGGGCACAGGGGTTAGCGGGGAGCTCTGCCTGGCAGGGCTCCTTTGTCTCTGACCAGCCCCGTCTTCTCTCTGCCCTCAGGCCAGTTCCATCAAACATATACCCCATTGTTTGCACATACATGTACACATACTCATATGGGCAAATGGCCCAAATTTCGTAAAAATGTGATTCTTGGAAGGACAGGAAGTAATTCTGAGTGTGTATGTTGGTTGGGGTGTTTCCCTGTCTTTTTCTAGCATGGGCTGACTCTCTCCCTCCACAGCTCCCATTCTGGTCCTCTGAACTGCAGTTGCAGTTGGAAGGGATTTCTGGGTCCCAGACCCATACACCTCCTGTCTTGGCTAGGCTCTAAAGCCTGGCCTGATCAAGCATCTTTCAGACACATGACATTCTCAGATAAACCTGAACTAGACTTGTTCCTGGTCTGGGCTTAGCCCCATCACTGGTCCCTGACCCTGTTTTGGGTTACACACTCAGCCTTTGGGAATCATGGACTTATGCGGGAACACTCTTAGGCTCTGTAAGGAATCTCATGGTTGCGAGCAGGAGAAGCCCAGGGATGGGACACAGCTTACCGAAACACTTGCTCTGGTTGGTGGCTCGATCCACAAAAACTTTGGCAGAGACAACAGCTCCAAAGGGCAGAAATGTCTGTATGAGTTCTGCATCACCAAACTCCTGAGGCAGGTGATAGATGAAGAGGTTACAGCCTTCCGGGCCTGCAGGAACAGCAGTAGGCTGGTTCAGGGGAGGGACTCTGAGTCCAGCCCCACCAGGCCCTGATCCCTAGCCCCGTCCCTCACCTTCTTTTTGTTGCTGGGGCAGGGCTGAAGGCTGCTGGGAAAAAGCTGTGTTCATTGGGGTGTAGGCCGATGGATAGGCTGCTGGAGACAGAGGTGGGAGTGGGCAGTGAACTCCAGGAGCCACCTCCCAAGCAGGGTGCCATCTGCCTGGCCACCTTTGACCAATTCAGCCCAGTCCACTGTAGGGGTAACCCTCACCCTTAGACAGATGGTTCAGGGGTCGGGGGATGAGAGGTAGATGTCTCAGAAGAGAGGTACCCCCCATTTCCCTACTCCTTTCTGGGACCCTTCAAACTTCCCCCCCTCCACCCAGGCTGCGTAGAGCCCAGTGAAACCTGCGTAGTGGTGCATCCCAGCGTAGGCCTGCTGCAGAGGGTCAGCCACGCCGGGGTTCTGGGCTGGGGAGAGAGGGGCACAAGGTCACAGTGAAGGCAGGCTGGCGGGGCAGGGTCCAGCGAAAAGCAGCAGGGAAAGCGAGAAATCCCTTCCCAAGGAGGCCACCTCGCCCCGTTCCCGCCCTCCTCCCGGCCCCCGACTCCATTTCGGGCGGATTTTGGTGGAGCGAGGTTGGGGGGTGTCCCACCTGGGTAAGGGGAGAGCCCATTATTGTAGAGAGTGTCGGAGACCGGCTGCCCGTTGGTCTGCGGGGTCAGGGGGCCGAATCCATTGACTCCGATAGGCGCCGGGAGACCCGGGAGTGTTCCGGGGCCGCCGCCCGGAGGGGAGGTGGCTGCAGGTGGCAGAGGAGGAGGTCGCAGGGTCACGCCACAGCCTCCCTTCCGCCGCCCATTCCCCCCCCCCCCCCCCCCCCCCGCAGCGGCCCGCCCCCTGTTCTCGGTACCTGCTGCGGGCAGCAGCGGCGCGGCCACCAGGCTGAAGGCCGCCACGTGCTGCATCTGTGCGGCCACTGCGGCCACCTGGCCTAGACCCGGGCCCTGTGCCGCCGCCAGCAGGGCCGCCTGGTGCTGCAGGATCTTTGGGAGGGAAGAAGGATGTGGATGGCCCAGTGCGGGGAAGCTGCCCCTGCTTCCGACCTCCAGCCGCGCCCACCCACGGGTCGTCAGAGGCCCAGCACCTACCGCCGTGGTGTAAGCGCCACAGGCCCCGAGCGGCAGCGGCGCGGGGTGGAAGGCGCTCAGCTGACCCGCCATCTGCTGCATCCGACGCAGCGCGCGCTCCCGGTCCGTGTCCGCCAGCTTGACCACGAGGCTGGATGAGGCGCCCTGGGTAGGGCAGGGGAGGCCGCGGTGGCCGGTCCAGACCCCAGCCCTGGCCCTGGGCCGAGTGCCTTGCGCATCAGGCCCTTTCCTGGGGCACTGATCGCATGTGGAGAGGAGAAGCCCGTCCCCACCCCACCGGCCTCACCCTCGGACCGCGCCCTCCCTCACCGCCATGGTCCGGCTGCCGTGCAGACTCTGGATGGCCGCCTGAGCTTCCCCCTGACTCCCAAATTTTACAAAGGCACAGCCTAGAGTGAAGACAGAGGGATTAGGTCAAAGAGGCAAAAAGGTCACGTGGCCCAGAGTGAGGCAGGATCACCAGGAAATCCCGAGATCAGCTCAAGTCACCTTTACTGGTGCCATCTGGGCTTCGCAAGACGGTACACTCCTCAATATGGCCGAAGGGTTGGAACAGGCGTCTGACGTCTTCCTCGCCCTGCTGCTTCCCCAGCATCCCCACAAACAGCTTTCGGTCCTCTGGGGGACAAATCCAGGGAGTGACTTAGGGGCCCCCAAGTCACTCCCTGGATTTGTCTCCCAGAGGAGAGGTAGCTCCCACCACAGCCTAGCTCGGAAGAGATGTGGGGAATGAGAAGGTGAGAAGGCCCTGGGCTACAAGGGTTGTGTTTTTGTTTGTTCTTTTAAGATTGATTGATTGATTTATAGATAAGGGGAAGGGAGGGAGAAAGAAAGGGAGAGGGAACATTATATGTGGTTGCATCTCTTGCGCCCCCTGCTGGGGACCTGGTCTGCACCCAGGCATGTGCCCTACTCTGGGAATCCAACCAGCGACCCCTTGGTTCTCAGGCCAGCGCTCAGTCCACTGAGCCACACCGGCCAAGGCAGGAGGCGTCTCTTTGTGGGTCAGGATAACCTACAGACAGATGTGGAGGAAAGGAATTCAACCCAGATTTCCATCAGGAAACCCCGGGTCCTGAAAAACCCAGGAAGACTCACTGCCGCTCCTGTGAAAATTGATTCTGTTGATACCTTTGCTTAGGTAGAGCCCTGTATGCATCTTTTGTATGTTTGAGCTTTCTGTCCTTTATGTTCGGGAAAGGCTGGCTATTTTGGACCAGTTCAGCCCTGTTAAGTGAGGCGGGCCTCAGAGGAGGCCTTTGGGTGTGGGGAAGAGAAGTACACCTGTGTGGGTTAGCCTGATGGTCGTGGATAGAATCAATGTCCCTTGCTATTCAAAATCAAGAAGGGTTCTGGATCAAAAGGCAGCACCAGAAGCACTTGTCTCATCATACAGTCTCATCCCCAGATACTGAAATAAGGACTCCCCAACCCCAGCACAAAACTCAACTTGGGTGTCCCCAAAGACCTAAAGAGGGGGTAAAGCTTGGGTTCCTGAGTCTCCAGCATTAGCACCTTCCCCACTATACTTGCTGAACCCCTGGTCCCTTTTCTTACCTCCCATCTCCACCACTTCCTTTCCTCATTGAGCTGTCAGGACCCTCACTGAGCCTGCTGCCTGCTTTCTGACTTCCCCTCTTCTTCTGCTCTGATCCCTCTCTAGGGAGAACAAATAGACCTGGATGGCTGAGAACAAATCTGATTCCTCCCTGTGTCCACCCTTCCTCCGGGAGTGGCAGAGGTACCAGGAAAGGAACTGCAAGCTGGGCCTGCGTCCCTTGGAGAATGCTGGAGAGCTGGGGCTGGAGACCAGGGCTCAGCTGCATATCCAGCAAGCCAGGCCTCCGGAGCGCTAATCAGGAACCTGGAGTATAAGGGTTTAGTCCACAGGGCCTTCTGTCAAAGCCCTGCTCCTTTCTGCACTAAGGTAAGTCTTTGAATTCAGGATGGGGCTTTCTCTAGGTGATACAAGTTGGGAGAGGAGATGTGGGTGGGAATCTGGCTTCAGGCTTCACCTTCAAGGTCCTGGAGCCCAAGAAAACCCATCCCAAACTCCTTTACTCCTTGACAAGCTTGGCTGGGCTGATGGGCATCCTTGGATCCTGTGTGCAAAGGAGGAAGGTTGGTGAGGGTCAAAAGGAAGAACACACTGCTCAAAGTTAGCAGTGGAGTGAATCTCCAACTAGGCTATGGTGTGGGGTCCAGCCTATGCTTTCCTGGGTACCCTGAGATGTCTGTTTGTCTGTCAATGCTGTGTCTGTGTGAAAGGTAGGGGCTGCACTTTATGTGGCATAGGCATAGTGTGTTTCAGCAGAATCTGTCCAGTGGATTACGGCCGTGATCCTGAAGGAGAAGAGGTGGATAATGTACTTGTGACAAGAATTCTAGAGGAGGTGCTGACCTTCTGTGGTGAGAGTACAATCTTGGGGGTGTGCTTCAGAGAGTGTTAGCCATGGATCAGTGCAATTAGAACATATCACTGGCTTCCCTACTTTTTTTTAAAAAAGCTATGGAATCCATTTTTCTAACAAAAGTATTAGGATGAAGTTCAAAATATAAGAGAAAAGCAAAATTACTCTGTCTGACATCAGAAAGATATGTGTGTGTGTGCACATGCTGGAGTTGTTCTTGTTTCATCTCCCCCTAGTACCCCCTAGATGGCTTTCCAAGGAAAGTTCTTTGAAAACCACTGACCTAAAAGATAGAGAATAGAGTTCCAGAAGGTGTATGAAGAGGGACCTCCAATCATTCTATTCAGGAACCTGAGAAAATAGGAAAGGCCCTTCATGAATCTCTTGACCAGTATGATGTTTCTGGCTTTGCCTTGACATTGAAGAACAGATCTCATTTGGTCAGGAAATGAAACCCCAGAAGACCGTGCCACTGTTCTGAGCTAGGACACTTAAGAATGTCCATGTGGCTGCAGAAGGCCCAGAGGAACTGGAGAAGATCCTAGGGCCTCCAGAGTCCCAAGATTAAAGGAGCTTCCTGATACCCTAATTTATACTGCATTTGTGTCATTGGGAAGGGTCCACAAGATGATGATGGTACCTAGGTAAGATGTCATGCCACATGGATCAGCATTCAGGTAGCCATAGGTAGGAAAAGAGATTGCAAGGCTAAGGTAGAGCCCCCGGGATAGGAAAAGAGTTGTGTAAACAGCAGTATGATCCTTCATCTACTCTTCTTCTTGTTGATCTTTTCTGTGGTTGGTTGTTAGTTCAAGGCCATGTCATAGATCATGAAATTCTATGATCCTTCTTTTCCAGTGAGTCTCCCAAATTACAGATTTTCAATTTTTTTTTAGAGATTTTATTCATTCAGCTTTAGAGAGATGGGAAGGGAGGGAGAAAGAGAGGGAGAGAAACATTGATCAGTTGCTTCTCCCCCAGCCTGCAACCCAGGCATGTGCCTCAATCAGGAATCAAACCAGTGACTTTTTGGTTTGTGAGACAACACCTAACCCACTGAACCACACCAGTCAGGGTCAAATTTTCCACTTTCATTACAACACATGGACACTATAGTTCTGGGCTACTGGGCTGCACAGAACATAATATTGAAATGAGGCCAGGGTGGAGGCTAAGCTTTGTGCTTCCTGTTTCCCAGGTATCATCTTGAATCTTGGTATCCTATTTGCCATTTTATAGGGACCTTAATGATGTTTGACAGGAGGGTGATCTGGATCCCAGTGCTGTAAGTTTTAGGTGGTCCTGAAATGTGGGATACATTCCTTAAGAGACAGACCTGGTGAAAGGGAAATACAGGTCAGACCCCTGAAAAGAGCTTCCAAATCCACAGCCCTCAAGATGTGGAGGGCTGGTTAATGCCCCCAGAGAGAGATGATGATGTGATTTAGTTCAGATAATTCAGTTTTCTCCAGGCCAGACTGTACCAGTGTGGTAAAAAAGAGGAGTCTGTAAGAGGTAGGTAGGAATGTTTGAATAAAAGTATCCCATGGTTGGTGGGTGGGTCCCTTGAAAGATGGAAATATCAGACAGGGAGGCTCAACCTTCCTGAAGTGGGAGGAATTGAAAGATAGCATCAATGTGGCATTGAGACATAATTAGAAAGACACACAATCGAATGGTATAACTTCGTTTTCATGTTGGCAACTGATGTGTACTCCTTGCTCTTTTACCAAATGCTTTTTTGAACCAAAACCAAGTTGTTTGGGCCCAAGAGGCCCATCTCCATGAAGCTGTCATGTGCAGCTGGTCATACAGGTTAAGGATTATAATACAGCAAATGATGGAGTTGAGAGCTCAGAGTCAGTCCACTCCATTTTCTTCAGATGTTATTCAAGAAGAAAGGCCCTGCCTCACGTTGGCCCAGAGAGATTCCTGAGGTGCTCAAGTTTCTGGCTTCTAGGTCCCTCACACCCACTCATCTCCATGTTGGTGTATCAAAGACCTAAACATAACTGCTAAAACTATAAAACCCTTAGAAGTAAATGTAGGGGAAAAGCTTCATCACCTTGCATTTGGCAATGATTTTTTGGGTATGACACCAAAAGCATAGGCAACAAAATAAAAATAGATCAATTGGACATCAAAATTAAAAGTTTTTGTGTATGAATAGACAAAAACAGAGTGAAAAGGCAACTGCAAAATAGAAGGAAATATTTTCAAATCATATATTTGATAAGGAGTGTATATCCAGAATATATAGAAAGCTCCTACAACTCAGTGACAACAATAAACCAAATAATCTGATTTAAAAATGAGCAAAGGACTTCAATAGACATTTTTGCAAAGAAGATATACAAATGGCCAAGAAACGTATGAAAAGGTAATAACAACACTAAGCATTAAGGAAATGCAAATCAAAACCACGGTGAGCTAGCATCTCATACCCATTGGGATGACTGCTGTAAACAAACAAACAAACAAACAAAAATAACTAGTGTTGTTGGCAAGGATGTAGAGAAATTGGCACACTTGTGCACTGTTGGTGGGAATGTAAAATGATATAGCAATACAGAAACCAGTGTGATGGTTCCTCAAAAAAATAAAAATAGAATTATCGTGTGATTTAGCAGGACCAGTTCTGAGTATATGTCCAAAAAAATTGAAAATGGGGCCTCAAAGAGACATTTGTGCATTTATGCTCACAGTAGCATTATCCAAAGTAGGAAGCAACCCAAATGTCTATAAACCAATGAATGCATAAACTAAATGTGGTATATAAATGCAATAGAATAGTATTCAGCCTTTTAAAGGAAGGAAATTCTGACATATGCTACAACATATGTAAACCTTGAGGACATTATGGTAAGTGAAATAAGCTAGTCACAAAGATAAAAACTGCATGATTCCATTTATATAAGGTATCCGGAGTAATCAAACTCATAAAAACAGAAAGTAGAATGATGGGTATCCGGGGATTGAGGGAGGATGAATGGAGAATTGTTTTTTAATAGGTACAAAGTTTGAGTTTTGTAAGATGAAACAATTTTGGAGATTGATTGCACATGATGTTAATATAGTTAATGCTACTGAACTGTACGCTTAAAAATGGTAAAGATAGTAAGGTTTGTTGTCTCTATTTTACCACAATTAAACAAAAACAAAGTAAAGCAGGGCTTTAAGGGTGGCTGAAAATAGGGACTTAGACCAAGAAGGAACTGTCGTAGTCCTAATCCAGGAGAGACTGGAGGTGAATAAGAAAAGTAAACCCAGCATGGCTTCCATGTTCCCTTTAAAGAGAACGTCATTGATTATTTAACCTATTTCTGTACCTTAGGAATCTTGGATGCAGAAATATTTGCTAAGTAAAAAATACAGCAAAGTTGGGAAATGGAACAAGCAGAACAATCACCATTGTGATTTATGACTTTATTGATTTTTTACTATGAAACTTGAAAGAGAGGAAAGGATATACAGGAGTTTGATGATTTTGAAGATTTTGCTTTAGGATTAAAAAATGATTTTCTTATAAGATTGGTACTTGTAACTTAACTTATTTTTTAGTGCTTCCATACTAGAAATACCGTAAGTTAGGAAAAATCAACCAGTCTCCATGTTGAAGAGCAAATAAAGTAGTCCTATTTAGTTATTATTGTTCGACAGATTTGGAGATCTCTAGCTCTGACCTCCTATAATTTGAGGTTAATGTTTTTGAAATACATGAACCTTGAATTTTTATGCAGGCCAACATTTTAATATTTATATTCAAATAAATCCAAATGCTGAGGGAAAAGTTTTTGGCATTATGTATGTTTACTCTAGGAATGAGTGCCTTTAGTATATTAGGAGATAATTTTATTTAGGAAAATTAGATGCACTGTTTTAAAGAGTTTACTGCTCAATGCCCCAGGATGTAAAATATAAGCATGGAGTATGGAGTATATGAATAGCTTGAATTTAGCTGCAGAATTTATGGGAACTGGCTGGGATACATTAAAAGGCTGTTATAATATAGCTTCATGAGGACCTGGGTGACCATCTGGGACTCCAAGTGCCACCAAGGCTGCAGAGGATAACTATGAAAGAAGAGGACCCCAGCACCTTCTCTCAGGCAAATCCTGTTGTGTTGCTACTATTATTGCATTGTAAGCATTGAATGCATGTGTTACCGATAACTTCTAAAAGTAATACAGTGTACAATGTGTTTAAAATATAGGTTATTTCAACCACGAACATCATGTCTATTCATTAAAAATAAGAGACACACTACTCTGTTGTATTGGCATCAAAATTCAAGAGACAGAATGTTAAAGTAACTATTTTTGTTTAAAAGCTTATATGTGTGTACGATAGAATATTCCTGTCATGGCAGATGGAAAAAAAAAAAGGAAGACTTTGAGTCAAAGAAGCAAACCTGTTAGGTTTTGTTAGACTCTCATAGTGCTGATCCACTAAAAAAAAAAAAAAAAGAGTTCATTGTCAACATTTAGTACAATTAAAATATAAATTTTTATTAAGTCATCACAGTTTTGCCCATTTACTTGACTCCTGTAGCATTTCGGCTGGTTACCCTGTTTTATGGAAAGAAAAACCTAATAATCCCTTCCAGAAGAAAATGAAAGTTTATATTTGCCTTGATACCCCTTCATATTATGTCTGTTTTAATACCAGCATTCTTATCAGATATAGAAATCATTATTAGTCAACTGTAAAGTAAGGGGTTTAATTTCAGGAATATTAAGGAGTATGTAGGCATACAGGCTCCTGTATATCAGGACAGCTGTGACCATTAACTCTGAAGGTTTACAGAATGTTTGGGATCACAGAGATAAGACTTGAATGGGAAAAGATGTCCCACACTGGTGTCAAATGTTACATTTCAAAAGCAAAATCCAATATCATTGTTGGGTTTCTAAAGCATTAGTTTGTGTTAAAATTCAGCAGAGAAGTGAGCTCACTTTAGAAGAGATATATGGTAACATTGGAGAAAAGGAACACATTTTGATTATTAACAAGATTTTGTAACACAGGTCAGTTTGTAGTAAAATACTTATAAATTGTAAAGACCCAATACTTAGTACATATGCCTCCCTTCTCTCAAATATGTAGCAGGGAACATTTGGAGACTTGAAGTGGGAGCAGAAAGGAATTGAAAGATCTCATCATCTGAACAGGCAAAAAGCATTATCAATGGATGCATTTGCAGTATATGCTCCTTAAGACCCATCACTTGTCAAAAAATACCTGTGTAATACATAACTACTGAAATTATGAATTCTACTGCCAGGCAAAACTCTTTCAGCCAGATTTGCCTTTCCTGCTCTCTTGAACTGCTTTGAATATGAACAGGTATTGAGATGTGATGCCACATACACAGAATTTGTCAATGATGTGACACCTGAAAAACTGGGTCAAAAAGGAATAGATAAATTATAAAACTCAGGCTGATGCCACTGGTTGGGGCTGGGGACCAGGACATATGTGCCAGACAAGCAGAAGCGTTACTGTCACGGAGGTTTCCTTTGTGAATCTGCCCGCACTCTGGATAAGTTGTGTTCAACTCCAAAGAACAGGAGAGCCCCCAGCACTGTGGACTTAGTTCCTGAACCAGATTCTAAGTTGCATCATGTTTTTATGAGCTCTGTACATGCTATTCTCTTTGCCTGAAATACTTATTTCCCCTCCCTCCTTTTTCTATTGACTACTTCTTGTTCATCCTTGAGATTTCAGTTTAAATATTTCTGCCTCTGGGAGTCCACCTTGACCTCCCAGACTAAGCTAGGCATCCTTTGTTTGTGTCTGGGGGACTTGAAAAGCACTGATCACATTGAATTGCAACCTCTTCTTGTCTGTATGCTCTCCTCATTCCAGAGCTCCATGAGGCCAAGCACCAGGTCGGCCTTGCTCACATCTGTTTTCCTAATGTAGTATACGTTACTTAGAAGATGTTGGTTGGATGCCTGAATAAACCACACCCCAACCTATTGGCTTCTCAGCTTGCTAATGTACTCTCAGGTGGCCGCTCGGCTGTGGGACTCTCTAGTGTTTGTGGGCAGGGCATGGATGATGGCCAAAAATGGCCTTGATGCCTAACAGAGTTTCAAGCAGAAATTCTTGGGACAAGTGAACCAGAGGTTTGGTATGCAGCCTGGAGCTTCTCAAAGACCTTTCTGGAAAGAATGAGATGGGAAAAGAGGATATATGTGTGGAGAGGAGGGAGGAAGTTTGGAAATATCTCTTCAAGGCAAAGAAGGGATGATAACATCTTGATGGGAAACTGAGAATTGAAGACCAGAGGTCAGAGAATCTTAAAGGATGAAAGAAGGATTTCTTGGAAGAACTAACTACAATGGAACTATGGAGCTACCAGAGCCCCTTGTACTGAACATGAAGTCTGAGAAGGTGTGCAGAATTAGTAGGGGTCAATAAATGTTTTTCAATTGGGTTCCACTCTCTCCCTGACCTTGGGCAGCCTCTTTCACCTAACAAAGCCATGGCTGATCTTGGGTAAGGCAGGCACAGTCTTATCGAAGGGAGAGAATCAGCAGACATCAGCAGGCAGTAAGGCCCAAGGGCAAGAACGACAGCAAGAACTGACACCAGATGCTAGCATTGCTTTCCTAGCATGGAAGCTGGCCAGAACACGGCTGGTCATCAAAAAGCAGGCTCAACCCCTTCTGTCCTTAAGAAGCATTGGTCTTTCTGCACCAGGACACAGTGCAGCTAAAAACTTTCAAAGTCATTCCATGATCTTTAGCATCAAGTCGAATTCCTAAATATGGCTACAAAGTCTGTTATACCATCTTCGACCATGAGTAGCCAGGCAATTGCAGTGAAGGTATGAGTGGCTCCAACCTAGAGTGGACCGGGTTCTCTGCAATCACAAGAATCTGGAAAAGGAGAATAACTCCAGCCTTGTTCTTCAAACAAAGAAGAATCTGAAAAAACAGGAATGAACTCTCTCCACAGGCAAGGTAACAAGAGCTCCCTTCCTCTGTCTCCAGCACCTGCTTAGGCTTTTCCTGCCTCTTTTGGGTTTAGGGACCCTGGGACCTCATCCCTTCTTAGTCTGAGCTGGTATGGTTTAGGTGTTTCTGGTACTGAGTAATTGTGGACCCCACTTGTCCCCCTGACCCAAGGAGATTCTAGTAATAGACTACGCATAAAACTGACTCCAGGAGTGAACCCACCATCCCCTAAATGGGTGATACCCTGAGGGTTGTCAGGCAGGGAAGTTACCTCCTCGGCCCTCACTGGCAGCCGGCTTCACTTGGATTGGACGATTCATCTGAAAGACATTGGACCAATATACCCAGTCAGCATGACTGCCTGGCCCTCAGGCCCCTGGTTTCTCCATTCTTGGCCCCCTCAGGATCTAAGCCCTGGCCCCTTTAAACTGCACTGCACCCCTCTCACACTGAGATTTTCATCCAGATTCCTTCCTTAATCCCAGGAATTTAGAAGGCGCTGAAACCTAAAAGGTTGGGTGATAGAAAGCTAAGTGGCAACCACAAGACAGACTGTGGAGGCTGAAGAGATTCTCTTGCCTTGAGCTCTGGGCAGGGACCATGTGAGGCCTGTCCCTCTGGCTCCTGGACTTCCTTAGGGGCTTTGGGTGGGAGAGTAGAACTTATATGGCAGATTTGTAGTTTGTGCTCTAATAGGATATAATTCTATGTGTCATCTAGATTAAACAAACTGGGAATCAGACTTAGTGCTATGTATCCCCAACTCTGCCATTTAATGGTTGTATGACTTCCATTAAGCCACCCTCCCTGATTCAACTTGTTAAATGGGGAAAACCTTGCCCAAGCTCTGTGTCACCATAGTTTCTACCCCTCAGTCCACTCCCTGGGTCCCCGTCTCCTGAGGATGTTGGAGTTCTCCAGGCCATCATCCTCAGCCCTGTTCATTCTGCTCCTTTCATTCTTCCTGGTTAATCTCATCCACACCCAGTAGCCTTAGCTACTGTCCCCACAGGGATGACTCAGGGCTCTGCATATCCGGCCTATCTTCCCTTTTGAGCTTAAGACCCATGTGCACAGCTGCTTGCTGGACATCCCCACTAGAAAGTCCCACTAGCAACTTCCACTTGACACACCCAAACCAGAGTTCATCTTTTTGCCCAGACCCGATTCTTCTAGTCATCTAAGCTATAAACCTGAAAAACAGCTTTATTCCTTCCTCTATCCCTTCCCCCACCAACCAATTTACCTTCTAATTCAGGGTTTCCCTGATCAGTGTTGGATAAGGGCCATCTGGGAACCATATGAAACTCTCAAACTGGGGGAGCTGTATAATTTGTAAAAGCTCCTAGGTGATGTAAATATATAGGGTGGAGCAAAAATAGGTTTACAGTAGTGAGTATGTAAAGCACAGAGTTTATTCTTGTACTCTAATTTATTAATTATTGTATTATTTATCTGTATTACAACTGTAAACCTACTTTTGCCCCACCCTGTACACCCCACGCATCTCCATCCCTCAACCACCCTGAGAGAATTCATGATTGAATCCCCATCTCACCTTCCTCTCATGGGTGTTGTGGGGAATCGCATGAGATAATGGGGATACAAAAGGTCTTTGTAAACTGCCAAGAGCTGGGTGCGTAGTATGTGAGGAATTATTGTTGGGGGCAGAGAGCTAAATGCCAGGAGGAAAGAACAGCGGCCTTCCTGGTCATGGGAAAGGGTTACTTGATGCCCATCTGGCCTGAGAAGGTGATGATCTGACCCTCTCCCCTCAGGAAACGCACTGTTTCTGCACCAATCAGGGGCCACTCCATCCTCTACCAATGTGGTCGTTGCCGGGACAACAGGCAGCTTCCTGTTACCATAGGCACAAGTGCTACCCAGTAACCATGGCAACGCCCTGGCAGTCACAGTTGAGCAATTTCCTTTGGATCAGATTCGGGGCGGGGGGGGGGGGGGGTGAGGAGTGGGGAGGGCTTATTAAAAAAAAAAAAAAAAGGAAAGGAAGACAAGCCAAGCCTGAACCTATGCTATTTCCTTCTCACCCAAGGCTCAGGTTCTTATATGCTCTGACACACCCACCCGCTGGTAGTGGAGCACCCACAGTATACCCAGTATACCGTGCTGTGGGTGGGGGCTTAGACACCAGCAGGACTGAGGCTGTAGTCTAGAAGGGATGAGAGATTAATCCAAGCAGATCAAGGCAAGCTGGACAGGTCTGGACTGGCCTGGACCAGGGACCGGAAGGACAGGACCTGTCCCTGGGCATGGCCACCTGTGATTGTGGAAGAGAGACCAAGAGATACAGCCATGGAGAGCAGAGACAAAGGGCGAGATGAAGAGACATAGGAAGACAGAAATGATGAGAAAGAGTAGGAGACAGACCTAGAAAGTGGCAAGGAAAGAGAAATCCTGGTGGAGATGGGATGAAAATAAGGGGGTAAAGGGTCAGGAAGGAAAGGCAGGGAGGAGAGTGGTAGGAGAAAGGAAAGAGGAGTAGTTCGGGGTTGGGGACAATGAGGGTGAGTAAGACCATAGTTATTTTATAAGTTCTTCAATAGATCCTGAGAATTTCTCTCTGGAGCCTAGTGTGATGAGCACATGTGACAGCAATGATTTCCACCACAGCTGCCTCCCTGGCTGGGTTTCTGGGGAGACGCCCTTTCCTCCTTCCCCCACTCCACCACTCTGTTGGAGAGTGGGCAGTAGGTAGTATGTACATGTCCCACACGGACCTGGCAGAATCCAGGAGTCAGAGCCTTGGCACCTAGCCCTTCCAACACTTGGGCATGCTGCCAGCATTTCCTGTACTCTGTGAAGATCCCACCGGCAGCTGGACCCTTCAGGGGAGACATTAATGATGATGGGAACCCTGTCTTCAAAGTCTCACAGAGGGGAAGATAATGTCACCATTTGCTGAGAGCCTACTATGTGCCAGGTCCCCACCTGGGGCACTTTACATACATTGTCTTGAAAGTCTTTCCAACACTCTGCCAGGTAATGCCATTGTCCCCATATTATAAATGAGAAAGCTGAGTCTGATGAGGATAATCACTTGTCTAAGGTCACATGCTGGCTAAGTGTTTGAGCTGGAATTAGCTCCTAGTTTTGTCTGACACCGAAGTCCATGATTTTTGTATTGTACTGCTTGACTCTGTTCTTAAGTCATGAACACAAGTAATGGGGCACAGAGAGACCAGAACCTTAGGAGGAGTAAGGTAAAGGGCTCGGGGAGAAGCTGACTCCAGGAGGATAGGCTGACTCAGGGAAAGCTTCATGGAGGAGGCAGACTTGCTGTGGTGGGTCGCTTGCAGGACTGGAGTCATTGAACCTTGTGGAGATAATGGAAGAAGTTGAGCACCCCGGTGCCTTGTCTGAATGAGGAGCAAGCGTTGTGGCAGGCTCCTGGCATGGAGGTAGCCAGCGTAGAACAAATTACTTTTGAGCCAGACAGATGTGGATATAAATCCTGAATTTATCACTGGCAACTTATCTAAGGCTCCTGAGTCTCTGTATCCACATTAGTTAAAAGGAGAATCAGATCTTGGTAGGTGCACCAGATAAAATATGGGCGCTTTTTTTTTTTTTTTTTTTTTTTTTAATGGAAGGATGTGAAACAAAGGCAGGGGCAGGTTGTGAAAACTATGACAAAGATTTTGACTTTGTTGTATTTCAAAGGCAATAAGGATACAGGGAAGGATTTTAAGTTGGAGAATAATCTTATGAAAGATCCCATGGGCTGTCACCATGCAGAGAAAAGATTGGAAAGGAAATGATTAGAGGCAGGAAAATCAGTGACACAGGTAAGGGGTAAGGGTAACCTGGAACAAGGCAGGAGGAAATGGACCGATTCAAGAGATGTTTTGGAAGAATTAACTGAACTGAAGTTCTAGTGGGTGTGGGGACTGAGGGAGAGGAGGGAATGTTGGCTGATTCTCAAATTTATGGCTTAGGTGTTGGAGGAGTTGGCAGTTTGGGAGTTTGAAGGTGCAGTGGAAGTCCACAGGGGAGGAGCCCAAGAGGATGAGGCCAGACTTGGGCCCTGTGCCTTCAGTTTTCACTGGGAATTGGATAGGGAGGACATCCAGCATTTGGGTATACTCTGTGTGGCTGGAGGAGAAAAAGGGTTGCTTATATGAACTGCCTGGACAACCCTACTCTGCGTGGTTCTTGCCACAACCAGGGGATAGACGTGGGAGTGGGGTGAGGTAATCATCATTCTCCTTTGGAGAAAAGAAGGCATTGTCTCCTTTGCCAAGAACTTTTCATGGGATCTCAGGTGAGCTCTTGCCCTTAGTTGAGCAGCTATTCCCTTATAAGTTTCCTAGGTGGAGTCCAGGCTCATGTCTCCTTCAGAGCCCAGCCCTGGAGGGGAAATCAAGAGAGACAATGTCAGAGAGGAAAACAACCTACTCCAGGCAGTGAAATGGAGAAGGTTGGAGGAAGCACAGATACACACAAGGCCGTGGTCCTTCTGCCTCCCTCAGCAGAGGGAAGGCAAGACCCTCCTTCTCTCTCCTTGACCTGGCTAAAATTCTTGCTTTTAGGCTCAGCATTGCCCCCTTCAGACTCTTCCATCCTGATGCCACCTCCTCCCTCCACTCAGCACTCATGCCCTCAGTCCTTTCCTCCACCATGGGAAGAGTGTTTATCAGAACCTTTCCGAAGAAGGGACCACAGATAAGTCTAAGAGAGATGTTGTGGGTGCAGAGACGTGTGAAGCAGAGAAAAAGCAAACTTCATTTTCAGCACTTTGTTCTACCTCACCTCCCTCCTCTAATTTAAACTGCTGCTCAAGTCCCATTGGTTCTAGCATCTATATAGATATCCTCGGGGCCATGTTCTTTTCCCCATTCCTGCCCTATTTCCAGCTCCAGGTCAGTGTCATCATTCATCTGCACTCAAGGAACAGCGTTCTACGGGTCACCCTGCCTCTTATGTTGCTTCCTCTACAACCCAACCTTCACACTATTGCCTGAGTGATCAAATCTGCCAGTGGTTCCCATTGCAAGCCTCCCACTAAATCCCAAGATCCCAATCCCAAGACTGGCAGTCAAAACTTGTGAGTCCTGCCTTCCCTGTTGCCCAGCATACATAATCCTCTGCATTCACACAGAGCCTTCTCCATCTTTGCCAGGCACCTTCCCTGCCAGTTCTCACACTGTCCCCAGAAGTCCAGAAGTGCCCTTTGTCTTTTAGGTTTCTAGACCCTCAAACATGATGACATATGATCATGATCGAGATCTGATAGCATCTCCTTTGGGAAGTTTCTCTTTCTTCTTTCCTCCCGATGCTTCTTTTACATGCTCAGATGTAAACCCCGCTGAGTTATTTCTGGGCTGGAAGCTCCTTGAGGGCAAAGGCTCTGACTTACTCACTGAGTGGCTGTTAGCATGTGAATGCTCTTGTGTGAGTTAGAAAAAGTGTGCCACATCCTCTGGGTTGATAGATTGCTCATGTGCTAATGTTCATGACTAGGCCAGTAGAGTATGGCTGGATTTAAGCCTCTATTTGCCCTTTCCACTCAAACTGTTTTGTGTAAGTCACAACCTGCAAAAGCAAATGTACTCAGTTGTGTCTGTCTCCTTCACAGTGTTTGAAGGGATGGATGCCCAAGGGAAAGGAGGTTATAGGCATGGAGAGAGATAAATAAGAGGGCACTTTGTGAAGATGGGTCTGAGGTTGGGCTTTACCTACTGCAGAGTAGATTCTGGAGACTAAAGTGGGGCTGAAAGATGTAGCTCCAGCCTCATGAGGAAGAAGTTGCAGAAGATAGGACAGGTCACTGAAATCTGAAGGAAGCCATGAGTAAGGAGCCAAGGTTTCAGAGGTGACAAAAATTATCAGGGGACAGGTGGAAGGGAACAAATGAGAGGTCCCAGTCCAGCAGTTACCATGAAATTTCCCCTAGGGGTTTAGGCTTTCTCTTTGGAATTGACCCAACAGTTCCCAGACTCACATTGATAGTCCTGCCTGTCCCCAGGAGCCCAGATTGATATTATTCCCCTTCCCCAGCACATGGTAGCTGTGTCCAAGACTCAGTACTTGCAGAGAGCTGGGTGCCCACCTCCCTCCATGCTGGTGGGCGTGAGGCCAGGTGACTAAAGCTGCTGTTGCCCCTGGCAGGCCCAGAGGAAAGATTGATGGCACAGACATTGTTGGGGCTGGCCAGCAGAGCCATTGATTTTCATTTAGGAGAATTAAATATTAATTTTCACTTTGTTAAACTGGAAAGGGTGAATAAAGCCAATCCTGGCAGTACCAGAGCAGCCCGGCTATGCTGGAAGAGTGCAAATGAAAGGGTGGGAGGGGGCAGGTGTATCCAGTCACCAGGCCTTCCTGAACTTTAGAGCCCTGCCTGCCACCAGGTTGGCTCAGGTAACAGTGAATGAGTTATAGAGCCAGACTATTTGGCTTCGATGCCCAGATCTTCCCATTAGTAGCTACATGAACTTGGGCAAGTCACTTGTTTTCTATGACTCAGTTTCTTCATCTGTAAATTGGAATGTCAATAACAAAACCTGCTTCATAGAGCATTTTGAACGTGTAAAGCTTTGGAGTCAGTAAATGTTCCCTCTTATTATTTCTCTTTTATCCCCCAGAAATTATCCCAGTGGTCTAGGGCTTAAAAACCCTTATACCAGGTGCCCTCAGCCTCATAGAGTCTCTTAGGTGTCCCTTATCTCGTGGAGCCCTGTGGCTGGTTGAGGAGGGGTTTTGTTCTCCCAAAGTTCATCTTAGTTTTTTTCAGTGCCTTTTGTTTGCTTTCAGGAAAAAGTCCAAAACTCCTCAGCCTGGCAACCAAAGGTTGCTCTTCACCCACTGCCCTCGGTGGACCTTCTCTCCAGCTTGGCCTGTGCTCCCAGGGGCCCTCCTCACACTTCTCACTTCATTGTACACCTATCCTGTTTCTTTTGTCTCTGCACCTTTACCATGCTGTTTCCTACAAGAAATGTTACAGTTTCTCTCAGTGACAATTCTAATTTGATCAGCATAAGTCATTTACTCCCATGACTGGATGAATAATGACTTCTACTCCTCCTACTATTATGGATGCTGTTATTATTATTATTACTACTACCACCACCAGGTAACTACAGAGTGCTTATTGTTTACCAAGCACTGTGTGAAGCACATTTAATTATTATAACAGCTCTATAAGTTCAGTTTTACAGATGAGGAAGCTTAGGCTTGGAGAGGTAAAGACTTGCCCCGAGTCACCAAGTTAATGAGTGGTGGGGCCCGATCCACACCCAGATCTGCCTGACTCCAGCGCCTGCCCACAGAGGATTGGGACGGTGATAAGTTGGCATCACTTGACACTGAATCTTTAAGAGGTTCAAACTGCTTCAATGACTAAGATTGGTTCTAGGATCTGACACCCCATTAACAGCTTGATCAGCTCTAGGCAAAGCTTATCCCATTGCTGGCCATCTGTGATTCAAAGGGATGACTCCCTTATACTGAGCTCAAATTAGTGTGTCTGTCCTTTTTACTCACTGGTCCTGATCCTGCCCTCTGGGGCCACCCACAAAAAACCCAGTCCTTCTTTAGAACCTGAAGGTGGTTACCCCCGCTCAGAACAGTATTATTTATTGAGATCTTTCTCTATAACAGGCACTTGCTAAGCCTCAGTTAATCCTCATGAAAGCATAGTGAGCTAAGTGTTAGTATAACCCACTCCTTACAGATGAGAAAATTGAAGTTCAAGAAGCTAATCAATGTAGCCAGAGATACAGAACTGGTAAATGGCAGAGCTGGGATTCAAATCCAGATCTGTGAGACTCAAAAACTAGTACTCAATTATTATGTCAGGATGCCTACCCATTAAAACCCCCCACTAAACCTTACCTTCTCCAGCTAAATATCTCTAATTTCTTCAAACTATCATCCCATGTGTATGTATATATCATCCCATGTATGTCCCATCATGGTTTCTTTATGGTAGGCTAATGACCCTCTCAAATCTGAGGCTTACAACTGGATATACTCCTAATTTTGGCCTGTCCAGGGCATTTCAGTAGTGCTTTTGTTTTAGACACATCTCTTCTTGGATAAGAGAAAATGAGGATAGGTAGTATGACTGGTTCTTGGTGAACCTATGATAGGTTCCTAACAGTCACCCTTTCCTTCTTGCCACATGTCAATAGATCCTACTTTGCCTTTTGTTCAGTGATTAGCCATTAGTCAAGGCCACTTTAGGTGCCATTAATATGTAATGGCCTAGCTGCTTGTAGAATCAGCTCTCTCTTAACTTTAGCCAAGTGTTGAGGTGTAGGGGGAAGGCAGTCTTGGTGAGTCAAGGCATCCCAAAAAACATTACAGGAAGACGACCAGAGGGACGTGCCATCAAGGACCCTAGTAATGGAAAAAATGCAATACAAAGACCAGCAGAACCCCTAACTTATATCTGCATACATGCCCACACCAGTGAAAAGTGACACCTGAAGCCACGATTTTAGCCAAGGTGGAAAAATTATATTGCCAACAACAGTGACGTCTCTCCTGAAAGATGGGGACAGACACTTGGCTCAAGGGTCTAGAGCCCATTTCTTTGAGCCATATGACTGGATATAATAACCTGTAGCTGTTCAGGGCACAAGTAAACCCCCTTCTACAAAGATGTTTCTGCTGCTATTTTCTGGTTCCAATCCAGCTCCTACATGCTGCTTTACCATGCATGTAGGGTATGTCCCCAGCCTGAGGTGATTCCCATCCCCCAACACTGGTGGACTTACCCCTGGCAGGGTCTTCTGCTCGTGCAGTGCACTCTGGGCCTTGAGAGCAGAGTCCCGGGCGCAGTAGGTGAGGAAGGCACAGCCTGGGGAGGAAGAGGCTGGCTCAGGGGGTTTCCTGAAACCCCCGAATACCTTTCCTGGAAAGATCCCATTAAGTCGACCAACTCAAGGCCACTCTCCTTTAAACAAGGACACTGCTACCTTCTCTGAAGGGAGAGGTGCCTATGTTTTAGGCTCTGACTCCTTTTCATTTGCTCTTGGTTTCCTGCCTAGGGAGCACATGTACTCACACCAATCACATACTCATACAATCCCACATCTCGCCTCACCACTCCAGCCATAAATCCTGTTGGGATTAAACCTCCCCAAGCTGCTTTGTCTTCAGCATTAACCCCAGCCTTTCCCTTTCTTTTTGTATTTATATTTACAGAGTCTCCCAGAATCAGCCTTGATTTCTTCCCAACTCAGTTTCAATGGGAGGAAGCATAAGAGGAGGAGGAAGGTTGGGATCCAAGCCCAGAACCCCAAAATTTCTTAACACTGCCTTCCTCTAAGTTTGAAGCTAAGGAATGGGTTTATATGAGGCTTGGAAGATGAGGCTATCTTAAAGGTTTTCCACTGGTGGGGACTTCCAGTGACCTCCAATCCTCTCCAAGGAGCTTCATCTGTCAACTCTCTCAAGGCTTCCAGATAAGGCCTAATCTGACTTCTTTAAAAGAGCCAGAATATATAGGGCTGAGTGGTCTGGGTTCAACCAAAGGGTCAGTCCTATACCTCTGTTCATCCACAGAATCTGTAGCCTGCTATGAAGCACTGAGACAGGGATCTGTTTCTTGCCAACAGGCATTGAGAACTCCCTCATTCAGGAAATATTTATTGATATTACTTACTTATTTTGGTGGGGCATTATGATGGGTTTGGGGTTAAAGTGACAAGATAAACACATTCTCTGTCCTCATGGGGATTATGTAAAGGATCATGAGGGACATGGAACTAGGTCCCAGGAGTTGAGCAATGTCTCAAAGAACATATTGAGTTCTCAATAATAATAAATAGAGTTTAATCAGGTGACAAGGAGGGTGCTCCTTATTTCAGGCAGAGGAAATAGCACATGTGAAGACTCAGGCAAGAATTCAGTGTGTTGGGGAAATGGATGGAAGGCTAGTATGGTTGGAGATTGGTAATGGGCACAGAGTGGCCAGTTAGGTATGAAGGATCAGGTCCTCGATAGCTTTGTACACCTCAGTCTGGATTTTGAACTTTTTCCTAAGAGCAGTAGAGAGCCACTAAAAGGGTTTAAGTAGGGTTGTGATATAAGATCTGTTTCTAAAAAGAGGTTTTGAGTGTAGAAAGTAGGAAGACTGAAGGAAAAGAAAGTAAATATGAGAAAGAGCTTGGTGTAGTTTTCCACTTAGACCTCAGTAGACTAGAAAGGCAAATGGGAACATTTTTGTCCTATTTCTTTTACGTGGCTTCCCCCTTAAGGTGGGAGCATAGCTGCCATTTTTTGAGTGATAAGGACCTTAGAAAACTCTTGGGACAAACACTTATTGGTTTTCCATCAATAGGAAAACCGAAGCCCAGAGTGTGCCAGGGGCAGGATAGGGTTGGGATCTCTTAACTCCTAGGCTGAGGTTGTTTTCAAAGCACCGTGGCTGCCTCCCTCTATACCTATTCGCCAAAAGGAAAACTGAGTAACTGTGGCTTTTGGGCATCACTGTTGTTGGGGAGAGGGTGAGGAAGATGTTGGCTTGGAGACCCTCCCTGATCATCTTGTAAGGCAACCCTGCCTTGGAGAGTGGTGGGTTGGTTTGGAGCTAAATCACCAAACACCTGATTCTGCTTACATCTCTGCTCCCACCTTCTGCCATCATGCCATATCAGCTGACACCAGAAGTGGGCAGGGGCTGGGGACCTCTCTGAAGGGCTCAGGGACTCAGTTGATGCCTAAAGGAGCCTGTGTGGACTACTTGGGATGGGGGTGGAAGAATGGAGGGATGGAAAGACAGAGAAGCATGTAAAGACAGATGAATAAAAAAATAGGAAGAATTAGAGCTAAATGGAGGGAGGGAGGGGTAGAGGAAAGGCGGGAGGAAGGAGGCCATGAGGAAACAGTTCAGAGACTGATGGTGAAAAGAGTGAGAAGAGTGGGGATTAAAGGTACTCTATACACTTCCTTTATTGTAAAGATGACCCCAAAAGATTGCCTTGTATTTACATACTGAAATAAATGTCTAAACAATAAGGAAATAAATATCTGTGGATGGATGAACAGCCAGGTGGCTCGACTACATTAGAAGGAATCTGGATGGTATAATCTTGTCCTTTTATGCTCCATTTACTAAAATCCCAGCCCAAAGGGTAGAAGATGCACTGCTACCTAGCTGGTCCTAGATCTTCCATGGGCATTTATTTTCCTAAAGTCCTTTTATCAGTGTGCCTAGAAACCCCCCAAGACCTCCCAGTTGAAAAGACGTGACAGCCTGATTACAGCTCTCAGCCCCTAGGAAAGGACCTTTAGCTATTACCCAGGGCCCACCACTTCTTCCCTGGGAAGATCATGGAGGAGGGTTGGTGAGCTTGCCCTCCTCCCAGCCAAATCCAGAAGCTGCTGTATGGTGAAGGTAAGGAGAGGTGGGGTGTTTCTCCTCAAGTCATTTCCTCCCTCCACCCATATATGACATGTAACTATGGTGCCGTTACTCCAGCTAGCCTGGACAGACTTCTGAGTAAACAAGCCTCCTCCCTCTCTCTACAGGAAGAAAGGGGTGTGGCTGGACAGGACTATGGTGTCTCTGTCTCTCCAGTAAGGGCAAGGAAAAGACCCCTTTCTGCCTCGTCAGCCTGACACACCCTAAGGCTTTGGTCCATAGGCTCTGGTCAAAGGCTTGTCTGTGAGGGAGGGAAAGTGAGAAGCCATAGGAGGACTGGGGAAGAGCAAAGGTGAGGCACAAGATTGGGGAAATTAGAAGCTGAAAGGAATGTGGGATCAGCTGAGAGGAAACCAAAAGGTGGAGGGAGTTCTGAGCTGAGGTCAGGGTTTTGAACTCAGATCAAAAGAGGCAAACAATGTTGGGATCCTGGCAGGGGACAGGAGAGATTTACTCTTAAACCTGAGGGTAGAATTAGGAGCTGAGAGCTTCCTGGGAGAGGAATTGGATTTTGTGAGTTAATTAGGCCTGGGTTCTGAAGGAGGGAGAGTTTGGATCTGTGACATTTCAGGTTGTCAGTCTAAGAGTTGAAAGAAGGCCCTGGAAATTGGCTGGGTTTGGAGGCCAGAATGAGGGGCGCAAGTCCAAGATATGTGTGTGGGTGGTTAGGCCTGATTGGGGTGGCACCCGATGGGGGTGTTCAGGAATTATTAGGTCCAGCATTTGGGACACCAAGGGTATTAGAGACCTAGAAGGTGGAATAAGTTTCCGAATTTCAGGACTTGGGGTGTCTGATGGGAGAAACGGAGGGAGGTCCAACTGAAAGGTGGGGACTATTGGGATGGAAGAGATGAAGGGTGGGAAGTGGAGGTTAGAGTGCAGAACATGTCAGGGGACCAGAGTGATGATCAGAGGGAGCATGTCAGAAAATTCTGGGTTGGGGGCTCTGTGTTCTTGGACACTGAGTTGAAGTGAGGCTGGTATTGGACCGGTGTTGGACTGGTAGGGCTAGGATTGGGGTTGCAGTTGAGGCTGGAGTTTGGGCTGAGCCGAACTCTAATCCGACTGGGGCTGGGCAAGGCTGGGCAGAGTTGGGCAGGGTTGGGTAGGGCTGGGCTGGGCTGGGCTGGGTTGACCCCGCGCACCTTTGTGGAGGCCGGTGAGCCGGTCCTTCAGCACCGTCAGCTCGTAGATGCGGCCGAACTCCTCGAACAGCGGCTTCAGGTCCTGCTCGTCCAAGCCCCGCGGGATCTGCCCCACGAAGAGCTTGATGGCGTCGTGGTCCTTCATGGGCACAGCAGGACCTGGGTTTAGCCCGCTCATGCTGACGCCGCTGTCCGCGGTACTGAAACCCGGGCGCGGGCAGGGACCGACGGGCGGCGCAGACCCTCCGGGAGCCGCGGCCATACCCCAGCCCCGTCCGCCCTCCCCCCTGGTCCCACCGGTCCCGCCGGTCCTGCCGTCTCCTCCCTGGACCGGTGGCGAGGGCCAAGAGGAAGGGGGCGGGGCCCGGCGGGGAGGGCGGGGGGACTGCACAGAGGGCGGGGTCCCTGGTGGAGGGGAGTATAGAGGGTGGGGCGGACTAGAAAGGGGCGGGGCCGTGGGCGGGGCAGGCCCGGACCGAGCCGGCGGGACACTGGGGTCTGGCTTGAAGTCCCCGCGCGGCGCACTCTAGGCTCCCACCCGAGCTCTCCCGGAGCCAAGCCCTGAGCTCCAGACCCCGTGCTTGATGACGTCAGGGAGCTGGCCTTGGAGTCTACGCAAATAATTTGCATAATGTGGGAGCAGCGGCCAATCAGAGCTGGAGTTGATCGGGCTCTGCCTGGGGCGGAGGGGAGGCTGGGCTCACGCGCTCCTGCTCGCCATGGCAACCGGACCTTCGGATGCCCTGTGTGTGTCTAATGTGTGCGGGCGTGGCCGTGAATCGCGCTTGTGCGCCTCGGACAGCGTGAGGGGAAGTAGCTTCGTCATACGTGGTGATGTCTTCAGGAGTCGTAGTTACCCTTTCCTCACACAGGCACACACACCTCCAATCACAGGGGCCTTTCCTGCCGGGGTGAGTGGGGATCCCTCTTAATCCCCACTGCCAAAGCCAGTTCCTCTGAGCCATTCTACCCCACCCCATCACACATCTCTCTAGTATCTTCAACTATTTGCTTACGCACCAGCCTCAAACATGTTCGTCTTCCTTGCGTTACCCTCTCCCCACACATTTTTTTTTTTTAATTTTAAAGAAAGAAAAGAATAAAATAAAACAAAAACTGCAACACTCCTTGAACACGGATTCCTCCTCAGGAGAGTGAGGGAATTTATATTAGCCATACTTGCCCAGATACTGGTTCATCCCAATTCTGTGAACTCGGGAGTGTTTTCTACCTTTTCTGGACAAGGAAACTGAGGGTTTGAGGATCTGAGGGTCAGGAGGAGAAGACCGAGTCGGCCCTTAATATCTGCTGGGACAAGGCAAGAGCAGAAATGGAAATAGAAAAAAACTGTGTGTCTATATATTTAAGAGTTGTAAATCAAGTTAAAATTTGTTAAAGTATGTTTTCCCCTCACTTTCACAAATACACATTTATAATAAAAGTAAAAATAATGTAAAGCTGTTTTTGTATGACTGAAAGTTGGCAAAATATCAGAACTGATGGAATTTTATTACTCTTGCTCATGTCTGAGTATTTTCTTGATGGGCCAGTGATGTTTAGTCACAGGAATAATACAATAAAGATAAATAATTCATAAATTACATATTTATTTTATAAAATATTTTCTTGACCTTTTAAGTAAAATTGCTAACCTGTGTCCACTATTCTACAAAACTTCTCAAGAGCAGCAGTAGCAATTGGAGCCAACAAAATATTATTACAGCAAAATTCAAATACAGAAATAAATTGTGATTTTTAAAAAGTTATTTTAAAACTTTTAATAATAGTTCTTATAATTACCTGCATATGAAATGGGTTGCCAGAACATTTCACTTTCATTGAGTTCAATGTATTTTAAAATGTCCTTTGACCCACAGATTATTTATGAATGTATTGTATTTCAAAAATGTTGAGAGATTTTCCTGTTATCCCTCTGCTATTGATTTCTAGTTTGTGTCCATTATGGTCAGAGAACATATTCTGTATGATTTCAATTATTTTAAGTTTGTTTAGGGTTTTTTGGCCCTCAAAATATGATTTCTCTTGTTGGTGCTCGAAAAGAATGTATATTCTGCTGTTGTTGAGAGGTGTGTTCTATAAATGCTGATTAGATCCTGTGGGTTGATGGTGGTGCTGAGTTCTTCATTCTTGCTGACTTTATGTCTAGTTGTTTTGTCAACTATTGAGAGAGGGATTTTGAAGTCTGTAACTGTGAATTTATAATTGTGCATTTATCTATTTCTCCTTTCAGTTATATTAGTTTTTCACATATTTTTTAACTGTTGGTTAGTGCATACACATTTAAGATTGCTATGTCTTCTTTTATCATTATATAATGTCACTCTGTGTTCTTGATAAATTTTTGCTCTGAGATCTACTTTATCTGATATTAATATAGCAAATCCTGATTTCTTTTAGTTAATTTTGCAAAGCATATTCTTTTCATCTTTTAATTTTCAACCTACCTATACAGTTATATTTGAAGTGAGTTACTTGTAGACAGCATATAACGAGTCATTATAAAAAAATCAGGCCGCCCATCTTTGTCTTTTAATTGATGTGTTTAGATGACTTATATTTAATGTAATTATTGACATGTTAGGGCTTTAAATCTGCCACTTTTTTCTCTTTTTGTGCCCTTTGTTCTTCATGTCTCTGGTATTTTTTTTAATTTAGATTTTCAACAGTTTATTTTTTATATTTATTTATTTATTTAAAGTATATTTTATTGATTATGCTATTATGGTTGTCCCAATTTTTTTCTCCTCTTTATCCCCCTCCTCCCTGTAACCCCACCCTCCAGCATTACCCACGCTTAGTTCATGTCCATGGGTCATACATATAAGTTCTTGGGCTTCTCCATTTCCTATACTATTCATAACCTCCCCGTCTATTTTGTACCTACTATTTATGCTTATTCCCTGTACCTTTTCCCCCATTCTTTTCCCTCCCCTTCCCCGCTGATAACCTTCCACGTGATCTCCATTTCTGTTATTCTGTTCCTGTTCTAGTTGTTTGCTTAGCTTGTTTCTGTTTTAGGTTCAGTTGTTGATAGTTGTTTGTTGTAATTGTACTGTTCATCGTTTCTAATCTTCTTTTTCTTAGAATAAGTCTTTGTCTTTGACCTTTGTCACTTTAATTATGATGTGTCTTGGTGTGGGCCTCTTTGAGTTCATCTTATTTTGGACTCTGTGCTTTCTGCACTTCTGTGTCTTTTTCCTTTACCAGATTAAGAAAGTTTTCCATCATTATTTCCTCAAATAGGTTCCCAGTCCCTTGCTCTTTCTCTTCTTCTTCTGGTACCCCTATATTTCATGTCTTTATGCATTGTGTTGTCCTTATGTTCCCTTATGTTTCATGTTGTCTCTCAGGTCCCTTAAAGTACCCTCTTTTTTAAATTCTTTTTTATTTTTGCTTCTCTGATTGGGTGTTTTCTGCTACCCTGTCTTCCAAATCACTGATTTAATCTCCTGCTTCATCTAATCTGCTGTTGATTCCTCCTGGTGTATTTTTCATTTTAGATCCTGCATTCTTCATTTCTTTCTTTTTCTTTTTTTAAGTATATTTTATTGATTATGCTGTTACAGTTGTCCTAATTTTTTTCTCTTTTCCCCCTTCAGCTAGGTACACCTCTTCCCTCCAGAAATCCGCCCCCTCACCCAGCTTAGTTCATATCCTTGGGATGTGCATGTAAGTTCTTTGGATCCTTCCTTTCCTATACTATTGTTTTTAAAAAAATATATAGGTTTATTGATTTTTCCCATTTTTTTCCTCCCATTTATTCCCCTCCACCATGCACACCCATCCTACCAGCATTCCCTCTCCCTTAGTTCATGTCCATGGGTCATACACATAAGTTCTTTGGCTTCTCCGTTTCCCATACTATTCTCAACCTCCCTCTGTCTATTTTGTACCTACTATTTATGCTTCTTATTCCCTGCACCTGTTCCCCCATTCTTCCCTCTCCCCTTCCCCTCTGATCTCCATTTCTGTGATTCTGTTCCTGTTGTAGTTGTTTGCTTAGTTTGTTTTTGTTTTTTAGGTTCAGTTGTTGATAGTTGTGAGTTTGTTGTCATTGTACTGTTCATCGTTTCTGATCTTTTTCTTAGATAAGTCACTTTAACATTTCATATAATAAGGGCCAGGTGATGATGAACTCCTTTAACTTGACCTTATCTGGGAAGCACTTTATCTGCTCTTCCATTCTAAATTGTAGCTTTGCTGGATAGAGGAATATTGGACGTAGGTCCTTGTCTTTCATGACTTTGAATACTTCTTTCCAGCCCCTTCTTGCCTTTAAAGTTTCTTTTAAGAGATCAGCTGACAGTCTTATGGGAACTCTTTTGTAGGTAACTGTCTCCTTTTCTCTTGCTGCTTTTAAGATTCTCTTCTCATCTTTAATCTTGGGTAATGTAATTATGATGTGCCTTGGTGATGCTTCCTTGGGTCCAACCTCTTTGGGACTCTCTTAGATTCCTGGATCTCCTGGAAGTCTATTTCCTTTGCCAGACTGGGGAAGTTCTCCATTATTTTTTCAAATAAGTTTTCAATTTCTTGCTCTTTCTCTTCTTCTTCTGGTACCCTATGATTTGGATGTTGGAACATTTAAAGTTGTCCCAGAGGTTCCTAAGCCTTTCCTCATTTTTTTAAATTCTTGTTTCTTCATTCTGTTGTGATTGACTGTTTATCTCTTCCTTCTGCTCCAAATTGTTGATTTGGAGTCCTGGTTTCCTTCCCTTTACTGTGGGTTCCCTGTGTATTTTTCTTTATTTCACTTTGCACAACCTTCACTTTTTCTTCCATTTTGCGACTGAGCTCAACCAATTCTGAGCATCCTGATTACCAGTGTTTTGAACTGTGAATCTGATAGGTTGGCTCTCTTCATTGCTTAGTTCTACTTTTGGAACTTTGATCTGTTCTTTCATTCGGGTCATATTTCTTTGTCTGGGAGAGCCTGTTAAATTGGAAGAGGCAGAGCAACCCAGGTCGCCATGTTGTGACACTGTATGTTGGGAAGGGGCCTGGGAGGGAACTATGCCTGTTGCTAAGCTCCGGCCAGCTTTCAGTCACTTTCCCCCCTACCCACAAGCATATTGGGCTCTTCTAGCGCTGATTCCCATGTGAGTGGGTTTGGGTAGGTTCTTGGTCCTTGTGGGTCTCTCCACCAAACTCTCCTGTGAGGCTGGGAGTTTCTTCCACGCCACCGCCCCCACAGGTTTTACAGCCAGAGGTTGTGAGGTTTTCTTTTCCTGTACTGGAACC